TGTGTTCACATAGGTAAATCAGGCGAGGAATCAGTAGATGATCCGGGTATATTGTCTAGAAATTAAAATCCATTACTGGAAAACTACAATTAATTTACCACTGTCATTGGACGCCAGTTGTGACTTATTCCGCCGCTGGACACAACTGTCGAGCGACCTCTTCAGCCGCTTGGTAAGTGCTAACTCAAGGTCAGACAGCTGTACGGTGGAATCGGTATTCCACGCTCCGAAGACTTCTGCATGTTGTATAGTTGTAAGTAACGGCAGACCTACCAAGTATAACCTCATACAGTTTAGAACCGCAGAGGCTCTCTTTCGTCTTTCTGCCTTTGAAATTGACGTAAAGGCTGATCTCATCGTCGAAGACTGCGAAGAAAATTCGCTTGACGAATTCGTCAATATTCTGCCCACCAAGGTATGTTAGGAAGGAGGTCTAACGCAATAGGGTGTGATCAATATGGTGGCTTACCAGCTCCTGTCGGAAGCTCTTGTCCAGTAATTGGACATTCAAATGACGAAATTCGGCTGCAGACCGTAAGTGGTGGTCGAGTGGGTTCCTCGGCAGCTGAGAAGCTACCGGTCCCGAGGTTTTAGCATGCTGTTGAATCATTGATTCTAACAGCCGCTGACGGCCGAGTAATTTGCGAACAGTCTCCACCAGAATGTCTAGTTTCATTGACTGTTCACGCATGTGTTTGCACATGAGTAGCAGGATATCTTCCTGCCCATTGGCTTTCGGCACTGTGGTTAACGTGTCGTCACCGAGGGGGATGGTGTCGAAAGAATCATTGGCGCCCTCCTGCGGCTCCTGAAAGGTATGATAGCGTTATTTTTCCTAACTTACTCGCGATGAAATGCCTTCACCTTCCAGTAGGTAGATCGCCTCATCAATCGCAGACCTCCTTTGTCGGGCCGCCCGCGGGCGACTTATACGTCAAACGATTACGTGAATGAGCGCTGGAGTTCAACATTGCGCACGCTCCCATACGAGCCCTGTTGGCTATTTCTAAGCCGATTGTGCCCGAACTGCCGGCAGACCCAAAAACACTCTCGGGTGCGGCCCATGTTCTACAGGCTGCCCCAATGGGTAGCGGTGAGTATGTGCACGTCGGCTTGGAAAGGCAACTACGTAGGCTTATAAGTAAGAATACAGTTAACTCAGCTTGCGATATAGAAATTCAGTTGGCTATCGATGGTCTTCCAGTATATCGAAAATCAAACACCGAAATATGGCCAATCTTAGGGAGACTTTCGAGGCCCTTTGTCAGTAGCATTTTTGCAGTTGGCATTTATTGTGGTACTGGAAAACCGTCGGATGTCCATGCATTCTGTAAGTTAGTAGATATTATCATGAGAAAACTACCTGCACGTCAACTGTCGGGCAGACAAAGGAGGCCCACGATTGATGAGGCGCTCTACTTGCTTAAAGGTGAAGGCATACCATCGCCAGTAAGTTATGGAAAATAACGCTGTTATACCTTTAAGGAGTCGCAGGAGGGCGCCAATGATTCTTTCGACACCATCCCCCTCGGTGACGACACGTTAACCACAGTGCCGAAAGCCAATGCGTTGGAAGATATCCTGCTGCTCATGTGCAAACACATGCGTGAACAGTCAATGAAACTAGACATTCTGGTGGAGACTGTTCGCAAGTTACTCGGCCGTCAGCGGCTGTTGGAATCGATGATTCTACAGCAGGCACAAACTTCGGGACAGGTAGCTTCTCAGCTGCCGAGGAACCCACTCGACCACCAAATACGTTCTGGTGCTGAGTTTCGCGATTTGAATGTCCAATTACTGGACAACGGGTTTAGAAACCAGCTGGTATGCAACCCAATTAATCACACCCTATTGCGTTAGACTTCGTTCCTGACATGCCTTGGAGGGCATAATACGGACGAATTCGTCAAGCGAATATGCTTCGCTGTCTTTGACGACGAAATAAGCTTGCGCGTCAATTTCAAAGGAAGAAAGGCAAAAGAGAGCCTCAGCGGTTAACTTGTGACTTGTTTTTCCGTTTAACATAGCTGTCCAGCGACCTTTTCAGGCGCTTGGTTATTGCTGACTCAAGGTCAGACAACTTTGCGCTGGCATTGGTTTTCCAAGCGCCGAAGACTTCTGCATGTTTTAGAGTTGTAAGTAAGGACATACTTACCAAGTATAACCTTACACAGTTTCGAACCGCTAAGGCTCTCTTTTGCCTTTCTTCCTTTGAACTTGACATGCAAGCTTATTTCGTCGTCAAAGACAGCGAAGAATATTCGCTTGACGAATTCGTCTATATTATGCCCTCCAAGCCAACAGGGCTCGTATGGGAGCGTGTGCAATGTTTAACTCCAGCGCTTATTCACGTAGTTGTTTGACGTATAAGTCGCCCGATGCAGCGGTTACGATCCCACGGTTTTCTGCGTCTGCAGGCGCTCCTGTATTAGTCCTCAGGACAACACTTACGGTCGACGCTAGACGCTAAGAGTTCTGCGCCGCCACATAACGTGCTTACAGAGCGACTTTGCGATTTGCGTCTAAGTTTAACAGCCTCCACAATTTCCCGGAAAGCCTCGTCTCCATACCTCTTAATACGACGTAATCGTGTTCTCCGGGATACCTGCCTAAACATGGTAAACATAGGAGCAGCAAACAACAGGTATAAGTCAATAGTCACAAGTAAGTGCAAGGAGTGTCACGTCACGCGTTCCACGCTGCTCACGCGAAATAATGGCGCGCCCGCGTGTGCGCGAAATCGAAATGTAACGAAGGAACGGCAACCAATAGAATGGCAGATTGCATAGATGAGGTAGGCTATTACGTGACAGACGTACATATCTCGATAAATCGCTATTCACATATATCTAATCGATATCTATTGCTACTAGGGGCCGTCCGGGATCCTGTGGATATCGTGCCACCAAAACCGCCTTGATCCCCAAGCATTTCTTATCCGCTTCTAATCCACGAGACTTGCCCGCGCCTCAGAAGCTTCTTGTTCGCCCTTTTCTATACCTCCATCCTCTCACAATATATCCTTTACGTGTTGGACTTCCTTTTATTACTCTGATCATACCTGTGGGCTGAGATATTGTCTGTCCGCCTGATGACAAAATCCAAGATTAACCGTTCAGGAAAGGGAAGAGCGACTCCGTCTCCATCCTGCTCTATCAAAGCGGACCTACATTAGTCTGGAACTAATCCCTCAACTGGAACATCAGTACGGTCTGCCTACAATAGCGTAACGTCACTTGGGCTGAACAGGGTTGTTTGAATGTTTTAACACTTTCCGCAGACCTGGGATGGCGATGGTGTAACTGCGTATAGGTGAGGGCGGCCGGTGTCATCCTCTCGCTACCGCCGACACCTCCCACAACGTACCGTCCTTCTCGTCCCTCGCTCTCTCTCGCTCTACGTCGGCTCCCCTCGGTCCTTCCCTGCAGTTGCCCACAGCGCTGCATCCCCACCGGTTGTTTAGCTAGCATGTCAGGGTCGCCTCTCCATCCAGACAGGTTATCTCATTGCTGTTGCTCATTCTACATATCGATCTCCGCCATGATCTCTTCCCAGCGCTTCGTTACTTTGGTGTGTGCTATCCTTGACGTCCTCGGCCGCGCCACAAGTTCCACAGGGTTGCTTGAACGAGCTGAGGTCACTTTGGCGCGGCTCCCAGATGGTCCGGTGTAGCGGCGCAGGACGTTTTTCGATGCTCTATATGCATCCATTTTCTCTCTTCTCAGAGAAGCCCTCAGCGAACGTCATGGCGGACCACACTGATGCGGAACCGGACGAACCTGATGTTTGAATGGGTCCGGGACTGCTTCATGCTGCGTCTATCGTATTTTGTCAACCTTAGAAGTTGACGAACCCGAATAATAACTGTTGCTTTCAGACGACCTCGACGGCGATGTGTCCGGCGGCGACAATTGTCCCACCTTTTCCTTAATTATTTGCAACATTTTTTACTTAACGTAGTAGCTACTACAAAAAAGTAGCAGTTTGACAGTGGGGATCCAGAAGGCAACAAGAATGTCAGGCAGGGACAGCGTGCGCACGCCAACGTGCCAGAGCAGGAAGTGGAGCTGGGGAATGCGTGCGTACGTTCGAGCACCAGAGCCAATCGATTAGCCTGTGCAAGTGCACGCAGTCATTTGCGTCCCTAGCATCGTCAGCACGGCGGGCCTAACAACCAATCAAATTACGGGCTTACTTTAGCCGTGCATTTGCGACCTCGATACGCGCTTCTTTGCTATTTGGGTGGAAATGCGCCCACCGATCATGTTAGGGAACATGGTACTCCCTTAACCTGGCGGCTTTCCCGCCTTCTTTTGCATACATTTGGTGGCAGGAATATGTGCAATCCAAGGTTAGCGCCTAACCGCACCGAGTTCCGAGGTGGGCATGGGTGTACTTGCTAAATATCCCCTCAACGACGAACCCTCGGATTCTGTCACGGCTAATCGCATAGGTGGCGTGGTCGCTACCGTCCTGTTGCCGCTATCCGAGTCGCCGTTAGTATGCCTTTCAAAAGGCATCATCATCTTGCTCGTCCCCCTCTATTAGAATGGGCCGCTGTCTCGGAGAAGATCGCAGCTTGTGCACGGATTATCTCCTACTCTTCGTTACAGCCGGTCGTGCCGACTCGACAGAAGCTTGGATGCAGTGATTGAGCAAGCTTATGTCGTGCCGTTTGCATGCCGCTTCCTCGCACCAACCAGACTGGCTGCGGATCTGTTCTGACTTTAAATTGTCACCGATATTGTTGCTCACTTTATAAAGCCTCAGCAGTTCTGTACTGCAAGAGTTAGCTGCCAGCTCGCGCAGTGCCTCCATCTCCCCCCTCTTTCCGACAATTATTCCGTGTATCCTTCACTTTTAGTCTTAAAACCAGCAGCAGCATGCCCATACTCTCCATACGCACCGTCGGGGAGGCATCTCTTGTGCTCTTCAGTGATCAGGCCGACCGCTTTCGTATTTATGCTGTCGCTGATGCAAGTCACTGGGAATCCTCCTTCGGTTTGGCAGTGTCTTGAAGTACTATATTTCCAGATGTCGCTGAGGTCGTTAGGCAGTCGCCAACAAAAGAAAGTCCGCAGTCAGCAGATTACTTATCCGAGCTTGTAACTGCATTTGACGATCAATCAGAGTCCTTTACGTTTTCGCCTGCGGGTCCTGAGGCGCGTGTTATGTGGGAACAGTACCTTGCTGATGGCATAAAGGTAGGCAATCACTGTTTCTAACCGCAGAACGTTTGGCAGGTTCTAAAGGGCGAGTTCCGCCTCAGGAAGGCCGACTCTCTGGAATCTGGTGTACGTCAGGTGCTGAGTTTGTGTAAAGACTGTCTGTTTTCCCAACGTCAGGAGATATCCTGTCTCCGGAAGGAAAATTCGGAACTTCGATTGGCTGCTGAATCTGCCGTACAGGTATGCCCAATGCGTAAAAAACCATCTTTCCCAACAGAAATACTCTGACGCTGTTGTAGAGGCTAGTCGCAAGGAGGAGCACATGTACGCTGTGTTTGCTGCTCTGCTAAATGCCAAAAAAGCCAAAATTCGTGCCCTGGAAGAAGGCAGTTGTCCGGCCGCCACAAAGAGGAAAAAAGAAGCGCACTCCCCCTCCGCAATGCAGGTGGACGTACCCTCCGAAACTCGCGAAGCCCCGGATGAGGAAGACGAGGACTTCGCTTCCGTCCCACAGCTCTCGACTAAGGGGCTTGCTGAGAAGCTTTCAAAGCACAGTCCTCGGAAGCCCGTGTCTGAAAGGTACGGTTTGTCCCCTCACACCTCTAAGGACTGCATTGGCCAACGAAAACCAGTTCTCGTTTGTGGTTATCGCGGCTACAGTCTGTCGCATACTTCTTATTTAACATACGGCCCCATTTAATCCTTCAGAGGGTGGTGACTTCCGGATCACGTCCTGGAGATACCCGAGTCTTGATAGAGTTTGTAAGATGCAGTCGGCCGGGCTGACTACTGTCGGTGCGTACGTAGTACACCAACCCTGGTCGGTAATCCGAAGTGGCGGCGTGCCTGCCACCGACCTGGGAGTACTGGTCTACGAATGGGTATCCCGGACATCTATAGGACAAGCCAGGCTATAACTACTCCTTCCTAATGTGGCTTCTGCGGCACACGTGAGATTCGAACCGCTCCTACGGAAGCCTAGCACATTTGGTGCGGACCGCGTCGTGTGTGGCACGCGTAGACGGCCTGTGTAGTTTTGTCAGCCACTGCGTCCGCGTCTACCCTCAGTCGTCTCGTCACTTTCCTGCCATCGGAGCCTGGTGAGGGAGAAGGTAGCGCGATAGGAGTTGCGGAAGTCTGCCCCTGTACAAATTAATTTGCGTGCAAGTCACCATCCCAGGCGCCCACCCTGATATAGGGCACACGATGGATGTCGTCACCCGCTACGGTCGGACTGTCAAGCGGGCGTCTGGTCCGGTTGGCATCGCCCACCAACTAGCCTGTCACTTCACGCGTAATATCTACGGTTGATGTAGCCACGAACGGCAAGCAAAATGGCTTGGGACCTCTACGTGACCACAAGCCGAGCCTCTGGTAGCCATCTTAGAGCTATTTAAGGTCGTATAAACGGGTCTCTTATGCACAAGCTCAGATAAATCGACTCTTTGAAGGGCTTTTCCCACACCCCCAGGGGCTGTGTACGTTGTATACACTGTTCTTACTTAATTTTAGGACCAGGAAACCCTTGCCGCCGGCCGTCATCGGCGAAGAAATCAGCCTGGACGACTTGGCCTGATTGTGACCAACTCCTGCTTTTCTAATTTAATTGGTAACCTGACTTATATTTTCTGACTTTGACTTACTAAATATATCTTTTTGCTCAATGGCCGGCCTTATTGTAAAGCTACACACCCGAGAGAGAACACGATGGAGAGTTCGAAAAGGTAAAAAGTCTTTGACCAGCTAGGTGGCCAATGGGAGGTAGGCCGACGATGTCTTTCGGGAGGAGGTGAAAGATATAAAAAGATCGCTAATGGCAGCATCTATGTGGACAGTACGTGCATAAAAATAATCACGAATGGTGTGGGGGAGGGACGGAGGGACAGTGGGTCAGAAGCTCGAGTCATACGAAAGACGAGGTCGGGGGTTTCTTGACGGGTTCCGCCGGCAAGCCATAGACCACGACAGACTTCCCCACCAGGCTCTGCAGTTTGCAAGCGGTGACAGCCTTGAAAATGTGAAAGCCGAGATTCTTCTGGCCCTCACCATCCGGATGCTGCTGCTGCCGCCTCTGCTCGCCTTCGATCAGCCAGCCGGTAAGAAAGGCCTTGGTGAAACGGTCGATGTCCCTGTCTGTGACGTCCCACAACAAGGACAGCACAGTCGGTCTAGAAGAGAGAGGAGGCAAAGTTTAATGGTAGAAAAACGAATTCCGGGGGGGGGGGAGAGTAGAATCTTCTGCAGAAAAGTGCCGGCCATAAGTGAGGAAAAGATGGGACAACGTCAATCTAGATATGCTTAGGGGTCACTTTACGAACACCAGCTGCCAAACAGCGCGCTCTTGCACGCAACCGCAGGCGCTCGCCGTGGTCCACTGATTGTTGCCGAGGTCTGGACCTGGAGACTTCAATTTAATTGGCCCCTCTGAGCTTGGTTATTGGTGCGAGATTGCTGAACTTTGCTTATCAGGACCGGCTGTTTGTGACCAAAAACCTGCTGACGGTCATACGGCCAGTCAGACCGACTACATCCTAGCCAGTCCCAGGGTTCACGACGGCAGATTGATGTGTGGTGCTGGAACTGGTAACGCCCATGAGTCGGACCATGTTCGTGAAAGACACCTTGGTGTCGCAAAATTCCCGACAATCCAGGCTCCCTGAGGCCCTGAGCAGACAAATCCGGTCCCGCTTTACGACCTTCGCCGACAGAAAATGCGGTAGTCAGAGGTCACCATTCAGTCTATGGGACGGCTGATAAAATTCTCGGATACACTCAGAGCGGAAGAGCCTTGTAGTTCGAGTCAGGTTCCGTAAAAATGATACCCCGTGCCAACTTTGGGAAAGAACGACAGTCGGCTACGGACGACCAGAAGAAATATTGGGATAAAACAGCGGCCTCCACTGAACAGGCCACAAACGATGGCAATCCTCGAAAACTACCAATTTATCCACCAACTTAGCGGCAAATCCTTTGCACTGAGTAACTCTGTCCACAATGTGAATGGAGGGCTTTATTGCTGACAAACCAGCCAAGGTCGAGCGAGAGCGTGGGCACCTCAACTTCGACGAGCAACCCATCATGTCCTCGTTCTGCTCTGGAGCGGAGTTCTATACCTCCCAAACCTCTCGGGAGGTTGTTGATGCGATGCAGCGGCTGCGCAATAATTAAACGTCCGCAGAGGACGGTATCCCCCCCTGAAATACGCGAGTTTTGTGTCAACACTGGCATCCTGACTTCACGAGGTATTTGAAAAAGTGTGGAGAGATGAGGTCCATAACAAACTCTTGCAACTGTTCGATATCCGGCCCTGTGTTCGACATAGTCGAGTCCTGATAGAAGCGAACAGGCGAGATCCCAGTAGCAGTTCAGAAGACGAAGATGCGGTCACAGGAACAAGAAATTTATTGGCCTGACAATCGGATTCTCACTCGAATCCATCATCAAAGTCCTGCCACCCATTACGCCCAACAAAGCCATTGGCTGAACTCTCGGGAAGACCCTACAAGAAGTCAATGGTGTTGGGTTTGCACCCGGACGCCGGCTGACTAAACTCGATTACGCTGGTGGAACCCCCCTGCCAGCGTTAAACTTTGGTACGTTACAGTCTATGGAGTCATGGGTGAGTGACGTCGCTAAATCAATCACTTTATCCATAAACGGTGGGAAGACCAGAGTTTTAAAGCTGTGTCCCTCACTAGAAGGCATCTCTCTGGGGATTCGTGATTGTCAACTTGAAGGAGCCGACAAGTGTCAAATAACTCAGGGTACAAGGAAAATATGCGGTTTGTAGCTTTGAAACCCTGTATGCAAGTGTAACGGCAGATTTGGTTCGAAATTCTTCGGGAATTGGAAAAGTTTCTGAAAACCAAATTATACCCTTCCTTCGAGTGCAAAAATGGAAGACGCAATTTCCTACTTAATGAGGAGAAGAATGAATATTTTATGCATGTTTTCTGTAAAATATAATTGAATTTTTAAGGGCATCGAAAATCCATGAGGAAAGCGCATGCTACTTGAGTAGTCATTTTCTACAGAGCATAGTTTTTGCATGCAGTCGGCAAGAAGTTCATTCGAAAGCCGGCATCCTGAGGTAACTGAATTATTATAGAATTACGCTGTACGACAATTAGTTTTACAACCCTATTTAATTAATCTATTCGAAACGAAAACGCATTTAGGAATTTCGGTCGACATTTCATGGGGTTTCGCAGTGTGAAATGGTCAAAGCATGAAAGGTATTGTCAACTAGATAATACGGTTCCCGGGGGAAAAACAAACTGTTGTCAACGTGAGAATGACTACGTGCCTGCACAAGAGAAATAACAGGAAGTAAGGAGACTTACGATCCAGCAATTAGGTGGTTGAAAACTGAGGCGTAGGGCTCGTGCCTGCCATCAAGACGAGGACGACCAGAGCTGCAGCCGACAATCAGCGCGACCGCCCTCGCGACAAGACCTTCACTGAAGGTGCTCATTAGGAAGCGCGATCCATTTCCGTGACCGAGGTATCTGTATCGAAAAAAGCGTAAAAAAACACCTGAGATACCCATGGCGTAGGTTTGCAAAACCACACAGCGGCGGCCCAGACTTGACGAGTGTTTACATCACCCGCCGATTTGTCGATATCTCAAATTGATGAGCCCATGAAGCCGGCCGTGTCAACGGATGTAGGACTTAAAGGTGACAAAGATCTTGTTCTCAAACATAGCTCTCTGATCCAAACCTCAACTTTTCTGTGCTTGTAACAGCCATACCCGGTGATGGTTTAGACGCCTCCAGGTTCACCGATGTCAACAACCAGCGTGACTCGTACCTTAAGATTGCCATCTTGGTGTGATTGCTGCCCCATCGAGCCAAGCATCCTCTACCAGTCTCCTTCAGTCACAAATCTGTTCACTTCTATAGTTGACCGCGACGACGGCAGTTCGGGGATGACTGAATTGTCGGAGCGTTGACCGGGCATTTCCCTGATGCGGCTAAGTCAACAGTGAGTTGATCAAGAGCAACAGCCTTAGCTCGGTCTATGCGCGACTGGGGATTCAGAATAGGATTCCCATAATGTTTGCTTTGTGCGTCTTTATGACAAATATTAGAAAAGTAAAATTTTAAAACAAGGTATTCGACGGAATCCAATGAATGTGGTACTAAAGCAACCCATTAGTAGTAATAGTAGTAGTAGTAGTAGTAGTAGTAGTAGTAGTAGTAGTAGT